CTCCGTCCGTCAATATTTCTCGAAAAACTCCAAACTTTAACACGATGTTCTTCATCATGAAGTCCGCCACTGCCTCCGCTGTATGCCGCTTCACCACGAGGCTTGCGCTCTATGTCTGTCGAAGGAAGTACTTTTGCGCAAGCTTGTGGGCCTCCGGAAGGAAAACAGATCGCGTGGCCGCTACAGTGCTTTCCTGAAACCGAAAATTCTAATCCAAAGCACCGCGCAGGCGAAATGCAATTCTTTGCAATTGGGCTCAAGTCGGGGAGCGAGTCATAACGTCCATAGTCATGACCATTCGCAATACTGAACTTGGATTTTCGTGGGTTGTAAGCACACTTCGAGCATAAGTGAACGCGCTCTGTGTCTCGCACTAGTTCAGGATTCAAATAATAGTTTCTTCCGTCTGGCTGTAGCAAAATTTGAGCGTGTTTTCGAACAGTACCCATCGATAAATGTCCATAGCGCTTGGCGAACTCTTCTGAAGAAATTTGAAAGGATTGTGACAGTAGAGACAAAGGTAAGCAGACATGTCCACTTTCCGGCCCAAGGAGAAATTCACAGCAAGAAGCACACGCGAAAATACTGAAGTTTGCTGGATCACTTGCGGCTGAAGACGCCTGACAGCGCTCATATTCCGGTAAACCTGGCGGTGCATCCATGGCATTCAACAACCGCTCTCTGACCAATTCATCATCACGAACATGTTCGTCGTTGAAGACGAACGCATCGGGTTGTCCGGCACAACAGTAATAGTAGGCTAATGCCAACCTTGGATCACTGGTGAAATTCTGCCCTTTCATCATCAACGAAAGTTCTTCTCCAGAAATGTCGTGCTTGTGCAGTATCGATTCTGCCAGCGCTTGCAAACGGTCATTGATACTAATATCACCATTAGCTTGTCCACACGGCCCTGCTCCACTGCGATCTGTTGGTCCGACATTCCCGGTACCCTCCGTGTCCACACCTGCAAAAATTGTAATACAGAGATTAGTGTACTGTTAATATTTTATTTGTTGTCACGATAATCCTACCGCGCTTTTGCTTTGCCCTGTAGTTCCGCATATAACCAGCTTGTCGCTCTCGTCTTCTCTTCACGTCATGTTCTTCTCCGCCATTATGAACGGCACCAATACGTGATCGACCAGCTATCTTGCGAGCTGCTCAGTATTCACGCATGTACTGCGCCTTGCGTTGACGCTTCTGTTCCTGCAGCACATTGTCTGATGCCAGATACTGACCCTCTTCGCCACAGAATGCTTCGGACGCAGCACGCTTGGTCATCACCTCAACTAAGACACCCAACAGGAAAAAGACCAGGACCCCCCCCCCCCCCTTTGCCAAACGCAGAGTTCTCGGAATCCAGTCTAGATGATACCCACACCTGGCAATGAATAAATCCACAGCTTCAGGATCTCTAGGCACCACCCCCACCACGCCCCGTGT